TGATTTTGTGTAATTTGTATTTTATATGTTTTAATTTTGTCAAAATTTGCAAATGTTGCGGAAATCTTTTTCTTTATTTTTTAAAAAGTTGCGGATATTTTTATTTTTAGCAAACTTTCAAAACATAACTTTTGGCATGTGATAGATAATAATAATATGAACATTTTGACTGTAATATTATTGAAATTCATTGATTAAAATAGATATTATTGAACTTTGTATGATTTGCACTGAATAAATAATTTAGTATTTTTATTTATGCATACTGTTAATATATTGAAAATGAAAATGAGTGTATAACTCGATAATAGCTAGTCGCTATTACTATTATAATAATATGTATGAAGAATTTGGTTTCACTAACTTTGGCTGGAGACTAACTGATCTGTATAAAATGGTGGGCCAAAAGGCTTTCCTTTAAAATCTTTAGTTTGATGTTATCATTTATTGATTCACGTGATAATAAGGAGATATAAGAAGATGATTAGTGTGCCGATGGATAAAGAGCGATGGCTCTATTTACTGAGCCAATAATTTACGAATACATAAACGATATGGAAAAAGTACTGATTAATCTAGGACTTCGTACTTATGGTGTGACAATTAAAATGCATATTATTAATGCATTGTTCTTATTACTATACGGATTTATTATTATTGTACGAATTTACTATTACTGCATTATTTTACTACTACTACTACTTTACAGATACCAATACAAACATCAATACTGTTATTACTATTAATATTGATTTACTGTACTGATTACTGATACCGAGCACTTGATATACAAGCATGTGATTAAGATAATTACATAATACACATGCACACGTTTATATGATTTTATTGTATTGATACGATTCTGACAGTTCATATCGATGTTTTGGTTTTAACACTTTATAAAATTTCTTTACAGATTGATAATACTGATACGACAACCACTTTATCGATTTGACTCCCGTAATGATTTATTGGTTTCTCCACCATACTATATTACTGGCTTCTATACTAAACTATTTTATTAGCTATAAACTTTATTGCTATTGTATGTGAGTTTTACTGTTGCATTGGTTAGTGGCCATATAAATGTTACTGTTATGATTTAATTGTTGATATGCATATTGTTCATTTGTTGTTCTTTGAGTTTAGTTGTAGGATTTGATTACTTGTTGTGCTCTTAAGCTCGTTATATCTGATTAAATAATTTTAGGTCAGGGACAAGAGAGCAGGGGTGTGAGATTGACTAGGATCCTTCAAGTTAGGGATGTCAATATTTAACACGACCCAAAAACCCGACTCGAACATAACCCAAAAAGTTTGGGTTAGGGTCAACCCGAACCCAAAACAGGTCCGGTTCGGATTGATCCGTACCCGAAATTGACCCTTTTTTGGACCAGCAACCCGAAATTGACCCGTTTTTAACTCGAAAAGCTGAGATTAACAGATTTTTATGAAAGTGTTTTGATGGCACTTGAAAGTTCGACAAGGATGAACTAGTCCCAAGGCTAACCAAGAGGGGGTTGAATTGATATTTTAAAAAATCTTTCGATCAAAACACAATCTTAAAACAAAAACCAAGATTCATCACAAAAATCAAAGTGCGGAAAAAAATGCGGAAGCAGTAATAAATAACACAGAAATTTATAGTGGTTCGGTCAACACGACCTACGTCCACTCCCCGGAGACGCCCTTCGAGTATTGCACTAAACTCAGTGTCTCTTCTTTTTCCCCTACAGCCAGGCGGAGAAGCCTTCGCAAGCCTCCTTTCCACCAACCCAAGTGAGGCAGAAAACCCAACTCCTTTTGCTTCCTCCAGAAGTAGGTAGAGAACCCAACTCCTTTTTGTTTCCTCCTGAAGCAGACAAAGAACCTTGATCAGATGCTGAAGTAGACCTCTCTAGAACCCCCAAGGAACTAAGGACGATGACTAGAGAAGATGACGACGGATCCTTGCTTGGAGCAACCTTTGTGAAACCCCTCACAAACTCCTCTCTCTCTCTCCCTTGCTTTCTCTCTCCTCTTGGCTCTCTCAGGTCAGAATAGCAGCAAAAGATACTCTCTTGAAAAGAACAAGAGGTCTTAAATAGAAGAGCTTCAAAATAGCTCTTAATTACAACAAACCGACTTTATCGTCCAGGATGATATAAATATTGTCCTGTACGATCAGTGCAAATTAAGCTCAATCAGCCAGAACGATTTGGGACGATCATATGATTTTTTTTCATATCGTCCAGGCCGATAGTATATCGTCATGTACGATCAATAAAAATCGTTGAATATCATCCAGACAATCGCACTGAATGGATGTCTGGAAGATGGAAAAATAGCTTGATTGTCCAGGCCGATCTCACGATCGTCCCGGATGATTAGTTCAAATCCGTGAAAATCGTCCAGAGCATCGCCTTGAATAGAAGGTGGCCGATGTTGATCGTCCAAGAACAACTAAGATTTTTTGAACTAATCATCCCATTCGATCCTGCGATCGTCTAGGACGATATGATCGAACATCAAACCTTAATTGCTTTCCTTAATTACTAGATTACTTTATGTATAATTATGTTGCATCGTCTAGGACAATGTCAAAAAAAAACAATACATAAATAGATCTGGCGGGTTATTCTTTCTGATTTGAGCCTATCGTCCCGGCCGATACAAATATCGTCCAGGATGATGCGCTTAATGATGGCTGCCTTAACCAGGATGTCCTAATTAAGGTTTCTGTTTTTAATTGATCGTCCAGGACGATTTGTAGATCGTCCCGGGTAATGTGAGCAAAAACAAAAAACTCTAAATCAGACAGAAAAAATTCCCCCAAGTGTGTGTGCGCAAGGTTACTTAACATCAGGAACCAAATCATTTACAATAGACTCAAGAAAGGAAAAAGTTTACAAACTGGCTCGGACCTAGTCTACCCAATCTTGAGCTGGTTCAAATTGCAGTTTGATCTTGTGGATCTGAAATGTTAGTAGGCAAGGCAGTCGTAGAGAAACAGAAGTGTTTGCTATCATCAAAATTATATTTCCTGAAAAACATATTCGCAACATTTTGGACCTGAAAACTAGCAATTTTTTTGTTGGCACCGGGTCATTTGGGTCATGTTGGGTTGACCCATACCCAAAGTGGGTCGAGTTTGGGCCTGGAAAACTGACCTGTTTGCAAAAACGAGCAAGTTCGGGTTGACCCGAATAATGTCGGGTCAGTTTCAGGTTTGATCCAAACCCGACCCGTGACTCGAAAATGACACTGCTAGTTCAAGTTCAAGTTCTTATTATTTTAGTTATTCTTTTTTACTCATGATAGAATAGTTGTGATATAATTGTATAGATCCTGTGTAGTGTATATAATTTTTTTTAAATGAATATAGATATATATTAATGTTTTGATCAATAATTTTATTTACGTAAGTATTTATATTGATAAAAAAATTAGATAGCTCTAATTATTGTATATTAAAAGAAAAAAGAATAATTCTTCCAAATTAGATTATAGGATGTCATAACGAGAGTGTGAAACCGAGCGTTTATGAGGCGAGGGGTAGTAGGTTTAGGGTTTTCACAAAAAGAAATAGAATGGAGATGGAAGGCGGAATCAGTTCCTTCGCATATCGCGTTCGTTCTAGACTCTAGAGTCCCGTTCATTCCAGGGCTTGGCCGCGGAGCGCGGATCCTTTGTTGCAGCACGATGTTCTTTGTATATTTGCCTTTGATACTTCATTGTTTGTCCTATAGTTTGTGTTTGTTCCAAGGCGAAAGAGTTATATTAATCATATGTATATTATCCTATGATACCTACAATTCATGCTTTTGATTGTCCTACAGGACGATAAATGAAAAACTTAATTGATGGGAATTTGTATAAATCTCCCCACAGTTTGTGCTTTTGATGATAGTTAATAACATTTTAGATGTTTGTTTGTAAATTAGTTTGTATTATGATGATTTAGCAGCTCTGATGTCCCAGCAATTTTTGTTTTTCATCCTCTTTGCAAGTTTGTTTAGACTGAAGGAATTTGAAAAAAAAAATGACAATGGTCTTCTATTATCGAGCAGTTCATTCGAGCGAGCTCGAGTAGTTTATTCGAACTCGATCTAACGAGCTAAGTTCAAGACTGTGTTTCGAGACAGAGTTGAGTTCGAGCTCAAATCGAGTTCGAACCTCTAGTAAATTGTACGAGCCAAGCTCGAACTTGCTATGGCTCAAGCTCAACTCGATTCGTTTACATCCCTACGAGTAACCAAGTGAACGTGAAGTCCTTGAGAGAGAAGCCCTCTCGTGAGCGAGTTTGGCAGGCTTTAAAAAGTTGGAGCTTGACTGAAATGAGTGATGATTTACTTTTTAGCGAGGTGCCTTCTAGTTTCCTAGCATATGATAAGTTCTTTCAGCGGATGGAGGCGAGAGGCGCCCTCTCCTTGGGCAATTTCTTCTAGGGGTCGTACTACTAAAGAGGAATATCCTCGTCATGACCCAATCTATCACATACCGACCTGAAAGCTCAAGTTAATGAGGCTGGAATAGACGGTCCGATGGTTAATACAGTTCTTTCAATAACAATAAATACTCAATAGACTAAGATTTAACATATAACTGAAGAACCAATAAAATAATTTTAGATTTGAACATATAACAAATCAGCTATTATCTATTTTCATTTAATACATCTTCTTTTGTACATAAACTCTTGTTGGCTTTAGTACTTTTATCTCAAGCTCAATGATTTAGTTTTCCCACTGTTTCAAAATAACAACAATAACAGTTAAATAATATTAATATTTAACTTGGATGATTCAAATATCATCAAAGCAACATCAAATTATTTCTTATATTGTTTAAGACAACATAGACTACTTCAAACATTGCCAAGGATGACTTTTAACGAATTGAATGTTATTAAAACAACATCGTATGTTTGTAAATTATCACCCCATAATTGTTATTACACTATCTACTATTAATCTCTAACATAATATAAAAGTAACTGTTCCTTAAATTATATTAATTACCTCAATTTATCTTCCATTTTGTCAAGTCAAAGCATTTACTGACTGTACTTACACCTGTAGATAAATTTTGCAATAGCGGATAAAATATAAACTATAATTTCATCCTTCAAATTTGAACAAAGAAAATCACTTACTCTTTCCTTCTCAATGAAATAGAAACTCACAACTCTTCGTCTCTCTCTAGCACACAAAAATATTCTTTTTTTCCATCTTTATCCTCCTAAAGAATAAATAAAGAAAACAATGGATTAATTATCTATTTTTGGCAAAACAAATACGAACTCTTACACGCACAATATTCTTCTTCCTTACACAAATTCCTTCTCTTCCTCCCGATCACTACCACCTCTCGGTTGTTGCCTTATTTCGTTCATGGATTTCAGAGGAGTGAGTGAAATTAACCTATCTCACATAAGGAGTTGTGTTTACCAATCTAGGTTCGCTTCTGAACTTGTATGCGCTCAAATCGTAGCCATTCGACCAAACTACCACTCGAGCGTAATCGATTTGCTCATCCCCTTTTCCTGTTTCGCCGCTCGCTCGATCCATTATATGAAAATGGACAGGTTAGATTGAACCGGTACAACCAATTCTAACACAATCACTACCTATGAGGATACCTGTGGAGGCAATTAGGGATGTACAAAACCAGCACTATCATATTAAACTCTTGAGTCATTCTTCCAAGATCATGTTCCTTCCATAGTTCGAAAAAACATTTCAAAGGGTTAATATTAACAAAAATTTGCTCATGTAATTTGTACTATTATAGGACATTTCAAGATAAGAGAAAACAAATATAAAAACATAACAGCAATTAATTAACCATACCAGATCAAGATATTACCTCTTCATCTTCTTGTAAAAAGATCCTCAAATCCTCGCTTTGTTTAAGTTCAGTATGTGATGCTACACGGTTAATAAACACATCAAGAGCTTGGCGTCTCATCTCAATGAACTCGGCACTGAAGCGGAACTTCTCTGAGTAAAAACAGAGCAGCAGCTCTATTAAAAGATGCATTCTTTGGTTTGAAGTTATCAGTTTCTTTCCAAAAAGGTGTATGAATTGGCATAAAGACAGAGATAAGTGCTTAAACAAAATTATATCAGCCTGTGATCTAATTAAAAAGCAGTAGACACGAGTATAAACCCAAAATAATTTCTTCTAGAAAACAGAAAAAAATATAAAGCAGCAAGTGTGTGTAGAAACACTGAAATGTAGCACCTAGAATGAAGGAGCAGGATGAATATGCACAAAGATAATACACATTAGGTTTTGCTGATCCTAAGTTATTTTTCAAGAAATCTTAAATGAGTACGATAAAAACCTATTCTGGTATGCACGTAAGCATACAATATTGTTAAATCTTGCAGGAATAAGGCTGGCTAAAATCTGGGAGCCGAAGAATATCTGTTTTGGATGTTGAAACGTGTGCAAGGATATATATATATATATATATATATATATTTGGTTTTTCAAAAAATAATTTTTGTTCGTTTTTTATAAATAGCGTTCCATGTAAACCCACTAGAACCAACATCTATAAAATAGTGATTTCTATTATTATTTAGTTTCAAATACAATGCAAAACAAATCTAATTATTTTGGAAATAATAATTATTCAAAATAAAAAATAAAGTTCCTACATTCTGGATAAAGAAAAGGGCCTCTAAAAACAATAGGAAAATTAATTATTTCATACTTTTCAGTGCCATATTTATTAGGCTAAATTGGTTTGGATCCATTTAATTACCTGTTTTTAATTCATATGCTGATTTGAACGCCTCTTACTAGTGTCTTTGTTATTCCTTCAACTAGAGATTGAGTATCAAAGGTGTTAGAGAATTACCAAAGAGTACTAATGTTTGGCCTGATGCAATGGTATTCAAAAATATTTTCAATACAAAACCGTTAGTCAGGAGTAGGAGCCAACTAAATATTTCCATACTAAGATACCATTTTTAACTATCATGTGGGACAAACCAATACAATCTCATTAAAACTTACGATTTGCCATAACTCCCCCTTAAATACACCAAAAGGCTACCTAATGATGCGGAGTTATCTTGTGAGTTACTGATGTAAGAAAAAAATCCAGGGGACCCTGATTTTTTGCTTAACAAGATAAAGAACTCTACTGGGTAATAGAAGAGACACAAATAACACAAATAAAGACATAAATAAAATCATTTTATAAAAACTATTACCCCCCCAACGTCACGGAAAACAACCCAGCCAGGGAACCCAAGAAGCAGCCATGGGAACCGAAGAAGCAGCCGCAAGAACCAAGGAGGCCCGCCTGGAACCGAGGCATCAAGGCACGGGAAAGGCCACCCAGCACCGGAAACCGAAGAGACAACCGCAAGAACCAAGGAGGCAGCCGTGGGAACCAAGGAGCCAAGGCACGGGAACCCAAGAGGCCAAGCACCAAGAGGCCAAGCACAGAATTTTAAAAGATAAAGCTATATAAATAAGATAATAAATGAACTAAAACCTAGCTTATAATGAGCTAACCTTTAGTTTAATAAATGAACTAAAAACCAGCTCATAAATGAGCTAAATTCCAGCTCAAAATTTATTGAGCTTGTAGACTCAAGGAAAGCCAAAATTGATTTATTTTGGACATGAGTTGACCCCCCTTTGTCTACATCAGTTATGCAATAATTGAAGGTGACCAAGACCTCATAAACAGCATAAACCAATCAATCTCGATCAATCACTGGCTTGCATATCTCTTGTTAGAGGGATCAACTGAAAAGGGAACAAAGTTGGGTCTCATGGGTTGGCAGTCACTCATTTTTAATCCAAATGGTTAAACTTGTGGGTGAGCCAACCACTCAGCATTTTAACATCAAGATATTTCTTAACTAATCCATGCAAGAATCTAATATTCTCTTATGCTTTATAAAAAAGTAGCTAGTAAGCTCCTCTATATTTTGAGACTTTGAGTGCTCAAATATCTTATGTATTGGAAATATTAGGTAATTTATGCATATAAACAATGTTTTCAAAAGTATTTTTCGAGCGTGCCTGGCGGGATGAACCAAAACTTCCTTGTGGCAACTAGAGAAGGCATTTAGTTTGTGGGGCTACGTATTTTAGGGCATTTCCCTAGGCACCCAAGGCATGCCTTTCATGCCCCATAAGTAGGGTGAGTGCCCAAATTATAATTTTAGGTGAAATTAAATTATATGATTATAAACTCTACACAGTTAATTACCCAAATAAACACTTTTTCACTTAATCTATTATGAAAATATACAAAAGTTATTCTCAAAGCCGATTAAAACAAACAACCCTAATTCAACTCAAACAACTCATGATTCACTCATTATCCCCATAAAAAAAAAACCGCTCATTATCCCTCACTGATCCACTTCCTCACTAATTCTCCAGCTCAATTATTCTTTCTCCCACAATCAAACTTGCAGCCTCATAGACTTACATGCTCGATTAGTCTCCCTCATTAGCTTGTTCAACAACAACAACAACACCAGGCCTTTATTCCACTATGGGGCAACTATATTAATCCTTTTTCTCCATTGTGTGCTATTAAGAGTCAAATTATCATTTAAATTTAATAAAAAAATGTCATTTCTAATATTTTCTAACCAAATTTTTTTAAGTCTATATATACCTTTCTTAATGTAGGTCAAATCTAATGCATCTACTCTCCTAACCAAGTTATCAGAAGGTCGATGTTTTATGTAACCAAATCATCTAAGGCGACTTTCTCAAATCTTATATACCACTGAAGCTACTCCAACCTTTTCATATATATACTTGTTTCACATTCTATCTCTAAGAGTGAAGCCACTTATCCACCCGAGCATCCTCATAGCTGCTACACTTAACATAATTTTTGGCCAACATTCTACACCATAAAATATAGCAGGTCTCACCACCATTCATAGAATTTTCCCTTAAGTTTGAGGGATGCTTTTCTATCACATAACACAACCAATACATTCCTCCACTTCAACCATCCAACTTGAATTCTACTAATAATATCCCTCGTTAGCTTGTTGAGACCACTTTTTCTCCACCAACTATCAAGCTTGCTAACCTACACCTCTTATCTTGGTTGAAAGCACACTTGCACATTTGCTATTGCCTCTATATTCTCTTTTATTAAAGAAGTCAAAGGTCTTAACTTTTAGTCAGATCCTCTTAGTGGATCTCTAAAGCATGTTATAAAGACTAATTCCATATAGTATATCACAAATTTCTTATGTTTATAATTCAAATGAAATGAGTCTTTGATCTTATGGATTTGTATGTTTAATTTATTTTTCATATCTAGATGTCTTTAGATACTCCTCAATTAGACACTTGGCTACCAAATTCCCGACCAATATTATATATTTGTGTTATAGATTTTAAAGTTATAATATAAATGAAATTTCATGGACTTCAAAATTTGAAATTTATAGCAATCATTTCCTTATATTGATTTTTAATAATACTTTTATTTATAAATATTTAAAATTTAAATTTATGAGGCTTACGCCTTGCTTTGTGAGAAGAAAATTTCTTCGCCTTTTAAAACATTGCACACAACCCAAACTCATCGTTTTTAAACAATTAACAAAATCCTAGTCCTATCCGATGAAAATACCACTATCTGAGTAAGGAAAAGCTTTAAAATAAATTTACAGCATGTGACTTTTGACTAGGCAAGTTCATAGAATTAAAGAAGATTAAATACTAGTTATCACGCATTGTGGAAGACAATCCTGTGAACTGGAAAGTAAAATCAAAGATAAACTTCCTTTCTTGCCACTACAAAATTTAATGGGTTAAATTAGTTTATTTACTTTTTGCTAGCCCATTTCCTAGAGGTAAGAGGTTAAAATGTTGATTATTAGTTCCCATGATTCCTTCAGCATTTATGTCACCGAATTAAGATCTCTATAAAAGAATAAACAATAAGAAAAAAGTAAAATATTTTCATCTTCAATCTTCTTGATTCTTCTTTATTTTTTATTCTAATATTCTTCGGTTAGAGCATGCGCTTAATGGCTACTCATCAAGTAAACCGGTAAAACTATTTTTCACAATCATTTGCCTAAGCAAGAGGAATGACTTTCAGAAAAAAAAAATATAATCTTTAAAATTTTACTTTTAGACGTGCTGAAGAACCATTTGATAGCTTAAAGACGTGAAATTGCAAGTTAACTCCTTATGGTTGTCACAGTTACAATGTTGCTTAGATATAGATAATAACATTGATAGGCTAAAATTCATTCTTTATGGATGTCACAGTTACAGTGTTTCCTAGATAGATAATAACATTGATAGGCTAAAATTCATTCTTTATGTAGAGACATCTAGATTTAGGGACAAATTGGTTCGGAGTAAAAAAAAATCCAAAACTTCTTTTTAAGAACTTTGGAATTCAATTTATAGCTCATTTCAATATAATCTAAAATCAAGTAATTCAGAATACAACATGTCGAGTATTTGCAAACTACAATGAGCCTGCCTCACCTCACCTCAACACCTCCTCCCCGGCTTCTACACCTGATCTTGATACCTCTGCACCCTGCACATTATGCTTTCGGCTCTACCTCAGCTCGTCCTGCAACCTATGCCTTTACACATGGCATTTCAATCTATGCCTTTGCACCTCCACATTTCCAACCGTTTCCTCTACCCCACACCTAACACCTCTGCCTCCGCCCCTTAGATGAACTCAACTGACATACTGATTTGGGGTAGGTTTCTGTTTATAAATATATATATTTTTTCTTTTTATAGTTTATCATGTGTAAAATATGTTGTGGTATAGCTACTCCAACTCCACATTTTTGCTCAATACACATTGCATAATATGTAATTCCTCTTCATCATCATCATCATACAATAAATGCCCACTCTCATCATATGGTATTTCTTCTTTGTTTTCATCCTCTTGTGATGTTTCTACAACTACGGATATAACTCGGTGATTAGAACAATTGGAAGACATAACTCGGTA